TAGTTGTAACACATGTAGGGACTGTATTGCTTAGTGCTTTGTGGTTTCCAAAGCCCTCGTCCATATTCCTAACAGAAGCAGACAATAGAACCCTGTCTCCAAGCTCAGTACAGTGCTCTTCTACATCACATCAGTCCTCAAACTCCACTCAGCCCAACAGCACCTATCGTTAGGGCATCGTATATTCTAAAAAAAATCCCAGTAACACCTTGGCAGTGGCTATAACCAATTCTTATCATTGTCCAAAACCATAATAAACTGATAAAACATTCTGATCTTGCTTCTGATTCATCCGTGCAATTAGGCACAAAAGCCTCTGGCTATGAAGATCACATGGAAATTCAGCAGATGGCCAGTGAGCAGCAGGCTAAACTAGAGCGGGCTTGTAGTCATTTGCTATGAAGTAATAAAATCTTGTTAAAGTAGATGAGCCAAGGAATCTGGAAAACATAAAGATTATATATAGTCCTTATTCCACTCTAATTGTAAATTACTTTGGAGATAGAAGCAAATCATAATTCTTTTTAATGAATCGGAAAAGATTTTTCAGGGTTCATCATCTTTCTTGATATATTATTCATTATGACTTTATAACTTGTCAAAGCAATCTTCAGGTTTTGTACTCATGAGCCTGGTTTCTAGAAAGGATAATTTTAAAGGGAAAACAGAATTTTTACATGACTCTCCACTGGATTATTAATGTTTAGTGGTACACAGGAACTATGAGAGTATTTATTCATTTACACCTCACCTTATTCCAAAAAGGATTTAAGTCAACTTAAAATTTTTAGAAAGTTAATAATATATATTTCTATAATCATTTACATTTTGTGTTAGAAACTGGGGGATGGGGAAGAAGTAGTCTTTTCAGTTAAAGATCAAAGGAGTAAATAAGGTTAAAAGAAATCTCATTGGCTAACTTTCCAGGAGTATAATTAATTATGCAACAAAACTTGTGGGCTCCAGTGTTAAGAGGCTCCAGAAGCCTAAGGATTGCTGTTTATCCACTTGATGGCTTGCTGCAGAAATCTCCAGGCACCAGGTTGATATTCTCTCCCAACAAACACCAGACCTTGTATGATTTCTCTATCAGTACTTCCTTCTGCCTGCCAGGTACTGTCATTTTTATATGTGTAGTCCTTTAGTTCTCTAAAGCAAACTTAAAACCTTCTGTTCTTTCTGCATTTTCATCCAGGGCTCAGTACACATCAGTCAGGTAAAGATTAAACTTAGGGTGCTCTCCAGACTGCAAAGAATGAAAGCTAGCATATTAGCCAGAAGCATGGGATTTTTTAAGATAAATTGCCGAGGTGCAAAGCTCTGACTTTCCACTTACTATCTTTGTGACCTGGAAGAAGGGAGGAAGGTACTTCAATTTTTGTGTGCCTTCATTTCCTCATCCATAAAATGGGAGCCATAATTCATGCTCAGAACATGTAAATAGTAAGTATTTATAGGTAACACATGGTAAATGTTAATTGATAGTCATTACCATAACTAATTTTTTTTTAATCCCAAATGTGTTTATTGGGATGGCTTTCCTCTCATTTTGATTCGGGATGCTTTTAGTGATGCTTCCTTCTGAAGCAGCATCCTCTGGAAGCCTTGCTTTTTCTCCAGTAGGCTGAGTAGCCAACACACAAAACTACTGTTTGTGCGTGGCTAAAGACGGTGATGATTTTATAGCATCCTTGGTGTTTCACATCCATGCAGTAGGAATTCGGACTCTACACCAGGAACTGCTGCTTCTGTTTCTCTTCTTCTCTCTGGAGAGGGATGAAGGAAATCCTTAGCAAGAGGCATGTTGTTGTGGGGAGGTCGTCACCATCAGAAATGCGCTATCATACTATTTTTTAAAAAGCCTATTCATCTACAGTATCCTACTTGAATTTTGCAATAACTTTTAAGGAACTTAAGTATGATTAGCCCCATTTTATAGATAATAGATCCTAAGGCTTTGATGTTCAACTTGCCCAAAATTGTAACAAGCATTCCGGACAGATCTAGGATTAGAACTCTGTTGCGTAGAGACAGAGTTCTAGTGGTTGCAGTTAGACTAAGGAGGGAACAGGTTTCATCGGGTGAGTCAGCTCTAAAACAGTCAGAGTGGGTGCTCAGAGCTTTGTTTTGAGGATTCTCAAAGCAGGTCCAGCTCATTAAGAAGAGAATACCTGATTGATTAGCTTTGTTTGCCATGGGCCCAGGAGCATGGAGCAGGATTGCATTGTTGCTTTCTTTTCTTTTCTTTTCTTTTCTTTTTTCTAACTCCGAGCTAAAGTTTCCCATGAACTCTAGTTTTTCTTTATAAACAAAACATTTAGGTACATTTGAACACATCTTTTAATAAACTTACTAATTTATAGAGTAAATATATCCTTATAAGTTTGCTAAAGAAGTATTACTATTTTCTAAAATAGTTTCTAACTAGGGCAATTGATGGAACAATTCTCTTACAAGCTGTTTATAAATCTTCTCATTTTCTGCTCTCATGAGCACACAGGTTGAAAAAATCTAGTAGTCACCATTTACTTCTAATTTGAGGGTTAAGTTTAAAACATGGCACTCTAAGAAGTAATTGAGAAAACTTTGTTTTCATATATGAACCAAATATTAGTCTCCTTGAAACTGAGAGAAATTGCCTAAGATGTGTCATATAAGTACCATTTTAAAAACACACAAAAGCTAGGTTTCTGTGGAGTTGACATATCTGATCTACCTCCTCTGACTTCTTGGTTTTATTTTAGCCAATATTATTCTATCCCCAGTATCTTTAGTCTTATTGTGGGAAAGCAGCAACTTTGTATTTTAAATATCAACTTACCTAAGTGTGGGAAAAGGCAGAGTTGACTTCTGGATTCCACCTTCTCTGCAACAAGATGCCTCAGGAAAAGCTGGCTGCAATTGCCTACATTCAACCAAGTGCCCAGGTTAGGTTTGGCTTTGGAAGGCTTGGGTAGTCCTATTTCCCAGTATGAACTACCTGTGAGAAATACCAGCAGACAAAGCTCAGGAAGTATGAGACCTGATACTCCATCCCCTACCTCTACAGAAATACAGAGAGGTGGGGGAAGTACACATTACAGTAGTTTTCCCATTTAGAACTTTGTGGATTTCACTAGACTACTAATATTTATTACTGGAGTCGCTTAACCTCTAGTTCTTGTTAAGACACCTTCAGAGAGATAGAGAATTTACCACCTTCTCAAAGTCCTGGCCATTTCTGAACAATTTTGACAAATTTTTACTTTTGTATTCTCTATGAAATGGCTAAACAAAGATGAAATCTGTCTCTCGAAAAATAACATTTCCCATTCTACACACACTGCTGCAGAATTGCTCTGCTCTGATTTCTTGACTGTTATTGTTTTAAATCAGAGTTATCTTATTTATATTTTATGTGCCCAGTGGCAATGACCAAGATTAAATAAGCATCACCCAACCGGTGTGACTCAGTGGTTAAGGGTCGACCCATGAACCAGGAGGTCACTATTCGATTCCCAGTCAGGGCACATGCCCAGGTTGTGGGCTCCATCCCCAGTAGGGGGCATGCAGGAGACAGCCGATTAATGATTCTCTCTCATCATTGATGTTTCTATCTCTCTCTCTCTCATCCTTCCTTTCTCTGAAAATCAATAAAAATATATTTTTTAAAACGATTAAGCGTCTGGAAGAGCTTTGTGCAAGGTATAAGACTATTTGGGGAAAAAAGAATTTTCTCTCCAAAAAGCTTTCCAGGAATGTAAGTAACTTGCAGAGGTTCTACAAATCATGATCTCTGGAGATTAAAATATTTATGAAAAGTAATGGTCTTGAGTATTTGTAATTAGATTAGTCACTTTTTAAAAATGATACTTGCTAATCACATTTGAATTTAAATTACTTTTAACAATCTATTACATGCAATCTTTAGGGGTATTTACTATAAATGATTAAAGAAAAAAGCAGAGTGTTACTTATAAAGTTTATATTAAGTGCCTTATGTAATTCATCTCTTTAGTGTTTTAAAAATAAAAATGTTAAGGTTTTATCTAAAAGGCAATCTTATTTTTTATTTATTGTCTTTTTCCAGGTGATATAATCCAAACATTCATTATAAATTACTAGAGGCCCGGTGCACGAAATTCATGCATGGGGTGGTGGGATCCCTCAGCCCAGCCTGTACCCTCTTGCAATCCGGGACCCCTCAGACATCCCTCTCGCAACCCAGGACTGCTGGCTCCTAACCGCTCGCCTGCCTGCCTAATCGCCCCTAACCACTCTGCCTGCCTATCTGATCACCCCTAACCTCTCGCCTGCCTGCCTGATCACCTTTAACCACTCACTTGCCTGCCTGATTGCCCCTAACCACTCACTTGCCTGCCTGATCGCCCCTAACCACTCGCCTGCCTGCTTGATCGCCCCTAACCACTTGCCTGCCTGCTTGATCACCCCTAACTACTCGCCTGCCTACCTGATATCCCCTAATCACTCTGCCTGCCTGCCTGATCGACCCTGACTGCTCACCTGCCTGACTGATCACCCCTAACCACCTCTGCCTCGGCCCCCACCACTGCGGCTTCATCTTTCAAGGACATTTGGAATGATGTCTAGAAGGTCGTTCAGCTGTCCGGTCTAATTAGCATATTACACTTTTATTATTATAGATGTTTTTAAAGCAATTCTCAGCTTCAAGCTTCTCCCCACAACCTCCTTTCCCCAAGTGGAAAGAAAAGACTTCATTAATTTTCCTTTCTGAGCAGAATTTTGGTGGGTTTTGCTGCCATGAAGAACATGTTATAGATCCAGACTTTTAGGCTTCTTTCTGTAATTAATAATATATTTGATCTTTCCAGTTTTTTTCTGAGATTTCTCTTCTGCTTATATTAGGAAAGCCTCTCCCTGGGGATGTTGATAAATCAGAAAGATTTCATCTCTGCCATGACAAAAACATGTTGAGGACTGAAGCCCCCTTATTCCTTCCCATTTCATGAATATGTATTTAATATTTTTGGTTGTTTTAGACTGACGCCGATTCTTGGCATTCAGAAGCATTCTCAGGAAAATATGGTGTTTACACAGTTTCTAGCTACCCTGCTTGAAGAATTACATTTAAAAAATGAAGACCTTGAAAATTTAACCATCATATTTAGAACCGGCTGTTAAATTGAGTGGTGAGTTGGATTGTGCTTTACTTTTGTTTATTTTTCATTTTTTGCCTGTTTAGATTCTTTTTTTAGTATGGAAATTTTAAAAACCAAGTACAGGCCCTGGCAGTTCAATTGGTTAGAACATCGTCCCAATACACCAAGGTTGGTCAGGGAACATGTAAGAATTAACCAATGAATGCATAAATAAGTGGAACAACAAATCAATCTCTTTTGATATCTCTCCCTTTCTCTTCCTCCCTCCCTCCCTCCCCCCTTCCCCTCTCTAAAAAGCATCAATCCTATATAATAAAGAGGTAATATGCAAATTAACCCTTACACCTTCACAAGATGGCTGCCTATGACCAAGCCGGCAGGGGGGTTAGTGAGGGACAACCAAATGACTGAACAGCAGGCTGCGTGGGGTTACCAGGCCAGCAGGGGGGACAGTTGGGGGCGACCAGGTCAGCAGGAGGGGCAGTTGGGGGTGACCAGGCCAGCAGGGGGGGCAGTTGGGGGTGATTAGGCTGGCGGGGGGGGGCAGTGAAGGGCAACTAGGCTAGCAGGGGGGCTGTTGGGGGCAACCTAGCTGGCAGCGGGGGCAGTTAAGGGCAATCAGGCTGGCACACAGGGGCAGTGAGGGGTGATCAGGCCGGCAGGTGGGGGGGGCAATTAGGGGTGACCAGGCAGGCAGGTAGGTGAGCAATTAGGAGCCAGTGGTCCAGGATTATGAGAGGGATGTCCGAATGCCAGTTTAGGCCTGATCCCCCGATCCCTGGGATCGGGCCTACACTGGCATTTGGAGATCCCCCAAGAGGTTCTGGTTGAAGAGGGTACAGGCTGTGCTGAGGGGACTCCCCACACACACTCTTGTGCACTAATTTTGTGCACTGGGCCTCTAGTATAAAAATAAAAACCAAGTATAGACATCAGTATATCCTCAGCTTGCTAACGGAGAACATGACATCCATTAGTTCTCAGCTGCCACACTCACTTCCTATCCACTCTTGTTACTTTGTGCCCCATCCTTGTTATTATTCCCCCTATATAGGTTTGCCATAGTTAATTCTGTTTCTTGCAATCCACTATGACCTTCATACTCAAACCGCCATGTCCAACCTGGTAAGTTTCTTCCCAGGAAATAGCAACTAACTTCAACTCAACTACTGCAATGAACCATTGAGAACATCCTCATCTTACTTCCCTCTTCAAAGAAATCACCCCCAACCCAGTCAACACCCTAGTACTCTCTTGTACAGATAAGCAGATAAATTTACAAGTCTGACTTTGTTGAATTGTGACCCTGCTTCCAGATGCATAGCCCTCCCCTACACCTCCTTCAGAACTGCCCATCAGAATGTACCTCCATCGTGCTGTTTTAATCATAACTCTTCATCTTTTCCTCTCTTTGCTTCTCATTTCACATACTCTCAAGTGCTCAGATAGTTTTTTAAAATTTTTAATTCAAGTTTAGTTGGCATACAATAGTATATTAGTTTCAGGTGTACAACATAATGATTCAACATTTATATGTCTTATGATGTAATCACCACACTGTGCTAGTAACCACCAGTCACCATGCCAACTTATTATGATATTATGACTGTATTTCCTATGCTATATACTACATCTCTGTGGCTCATTTATTTTATAACTGAAAAGTTTGTACCTATTATTTTCCTTCACCTTTTTTAACAATCCCCCTACTTTCTCCCCTCTGGCAACCATCAGTTTATTCTCCATTTTTATGAATCTTGGTTTGTTTGTTCCTTTGTTTTTTAGATTCCACATATAAGGCAAATTATATGGTATTTGTCTTTCTCTGTCTGACTTATTTCACTTAGCACAATACTCTCTAGGTCCATCCATGTTGTCACAAATGGCAAGATTTCATTCTTTTTAATGGCTGAGTAATATTACATTGTATACACTGAGTGGCCAGATTATTATGACCACCTGATGTTTGTAGGCAAGTTAGCTATAATTTCGCACTGAAGTTGCTAGAGGGCCAGACCATCCTATCTAATAATAGAGAAACATGGTAATTAACCGCACCTCCGACACGCTTCCCATTGGCTAATCAGGGTGATATGCAAATTAACTGCCAACCAAGATGGCGGCCGGCAGCCAGGCAGCTGAAGCAAACAGGAGGCTTGCTTGCTCCAGTGATGGAGGAAGCCAAGGTTCCCCGCCTGCCGCTGCCGGCCTCTGAGCTTGCACTCTAAGAAACAATGTTGCAATTAAAGAAGGTAAATAAACCCCAGAAACCTGCTTTCAGCGTCAGAGCTGGAGCGAGCAGGACCACAAAAGTGTTACAATTATAGAACCCAAACAAACCCAGATACCTGCTTTCAGCAGCTGAGGTCTCAGAGCTGGAGCCAAGCCTCAGAGCTAAAGCCGGCTCTCAGCTCCAGTGACAGCCATAGAAGGTAAATAAATCCCAGAATAAAAAGAAAAAAAGGAGAGGTCGGGAGCTTCAGTCACCCGCCAGCCTGAAAACGGCCCTCAGCCCCTCACCCAGACTGGCCAGGCACCCCAGTGGGGACCCCCACCCTGAAGGGGGTGTGACCAGCTGCACACAGCCATCATCCCCTCATCCAGGCTGGATGATTTCTACTATTCTGTCGTGGTCACTAATCCATTCTTCTGTTTTATCTAATCTGCTAATTTCTTCTAGTGTAGTTTTCATTTCAGTTATATTGTTCTTCAGCTATGATTAGTCTTTATTTTCTAACTTTTTGTTCAAGTTCTGAGTTCCTCTCTTCCAGTCTCAAATTTGGTGAACATGCTTATAGCCATTCCTTTGAATCTTTATCAGGCAAATTACTTATCTCCATTTCATTCAGCCTTTTTTTTTTGGATTTGTTGTTCCTTCATTTGGAACCTGTTCCTGGTTTCTCATTTTGACTTTCAGTGTTTGTTCCTGTTAAGTAGATGCAATACCCATCTCTTCCAATTTTGAAAAGATGGCCTTGTGTAGAAGCAACTCCTGTGTATGTATACCAGGGGTGGGGAATGTCCAGCCCACGGGCCACATAAGGCCCATGAAATCATTTGGCCTGGCCCTGCAAAGTCATTAGGGGTGAGTTACTTAAATGTTTGACCAAATATAGCAGGCTAATTTTTAAGTTGATAATTTTGTATGGCCCTTGGCGGAACAAAAAGGCTCCCCACCCCTGGTATAGACTGTGTGCTGGGTTTTGGCAAGGTGGTTGGAGTCAGGGAGGACGCCTACAGTGTCTGGTGTCAGTTGCCTGGGAGGTGCTGGCCCAGGGTGAAGTGACCCAGTGCATACACATGCATATAGTAGCTCCCTATTGGTCTGGCTGTCCTGGACAGAGTGAAGTACTGGCAGGGAAGCCCCAATGCATGCATATTTTGGTGACCTTTCAGTTCCCACAGGATCGAGGTCTGGATGAGGCAAAGCCTGTTGATCCAGTTGTCTAGCCAGAGCTGAGATCCAGGCTAGGCTGCCAGCTACAGCACCATTTGGTTCACTGAAACAAGCTCTGGACAGGGCATCTGGAAATTCACTGCAGCAGCCTTGTAGGTCCACCAGAGCACTTGCATAGCACTCCCCCCTGCACTATCCAGCTGGAGGGGGGATGTAAACATTGACACTCACCTGGCACCGCTGATCCCAGAGCGCTGTCATGATTCTTCAACCTTTATGTGCTCGCATGCGCGATTTCTCTCTCTCTCTCTCTCTCTCTCTCCTTTGATGTGCAGAAACTTTTCAGTCGGCCCTGAGTTGTCTCTCAGAAGGAATTGTTGTAAATGTGGGTGTGTATTTGATGTGTTCATGGGAGGGGGCAATTTAGTTTCTTTCTATGCCACCAGTTTGGACCCGCCTGATAGGTTTTGATTTAATGTTGTGATTGAAGAAATTAATCCTAAACTACAAATGAGATCTTCTCAGGAAGCATTCTTTTTTTTCCAACTTTCAATTATTTTTAAAATTATAAAAACATACAACCTTGTTATAAAAGTTAAAATAATTGCATATAAGATTTAAAAAAGAAAAACTCCCCCTTACCTCTGCCTTCAATCCTGTCCTGTCTTCTTTCCAGAAGCACACTTGATGTCTGTCATTTTATTTTTTATTATTCGAATTTTTGTAAAAGAAAAAACACGGCCTTCAAGCAAATCTTCTAATACATGAAAAGGATATTTGAGAGAGATATTTTTGGTAAGCAAGAAAAAATGGTATTCCTTTACTGAACCTTCTAGAAAATGAAATATAAGGAAATAACGTATAAGGAATAAGCACTGTACCTGCCTCCCAACTTATACCCAGAGTGACCTTTTCCAATGATCCCGCTCCCCTGAAGATCTTATAAAACAAAGGGTTTTAGCAGTGAGCTCAAAATGGCCTGTGTAAGTATCAATTCAAAACCTCTACTAAGAATATAGTGAGGTTGGAGATTTTTTGTTTTATTGGGCTTCAGATATAGAGGATCGAATTAATCGTACCCTTTGGTTCAAAACACCTTTTCTCCATGAAATGAAAGGTGGGGGTTTTTCCAGATAGACTGAAAACAAAGAATGCCTAGCCAGAGGTCCTTCCAGACCTAGTTTAATAAATAGGTAGCAATTAAAAATCATTTTTAATTAGCATATTTAAAACTTGTATATAAACAGATAGTGTTAAAGTACTTTTAAGGACTTCCAACAAAATGTTTCAACTGGAATTAATAGTTACCCTGTTGTTAATTATTTACATCATTTATTTGTGTAAATAATCAAAGTAAACCTTTGCCCAGACTTTGTTAGTATTATAAGAATTCTGAATGAGTCTTATTACTTAATTTTCCATATGAGAAATGGAGATGGTTGTGAGTAAACAGATGGATTTTTTCTGTTTGCTTGAATTTTTAAGCTGTAAATTTATTTGCATATAAAGATTTTAATGTCTAATAACCTCTTTTTATTACTTGAGAGAGAGATGAAGGGAGGCGGGAAAGAGAGAAACATCAATTTGTTGTTCCACTTACTTATGCATTCATTGGTTGATTCTTGTATGTGCCCTGACCGGGGATCAAACCCACAACCTTGGCTTATCCGGACAATGCACTAACCAGTTGAGCTACCCAGCCAGGGCTGTCTAAGAACCTTTTCAAGATTAAATTACTACTAATTAGTATATGTAAATATGCTTTTATTTACAAATAGCAGGGGGGAAAATCCAGCTCAAACATTTTTCTTATTATGGTATATTAATGTCTTAAAACAACAAACCTTTTTTTTAACCTTATCTTTTCTATGAATCAAGAATCTGGACATAGTTTAACATGGAGCCTCTGGCTCAGAGTCTCTCAATGAGGTTGCAGTTAAGCTATCTGCCAGGACTATGATGTCATCTGAAGGCCCAAATGGAAGAAGATCCCCTTCTCCAAGCTCATTCATGTGGTTGTTGGCAGGATTAGTTCCTCACAGGTTATTGAACTCAGGGCCTCAGTTTCTCACTGAACCTTGTCTAGAGACCTCTTCCAGTTCCTTGCCACATGGATCTCTACAGTGCACCTCACAACTTGGCATGTGGCTTCCCTCAGAGAGAGACAGTACCCAAGGTGGAAGCCACACTCTTTTTGTAACTAATCTCAGAAGTGACATCCCATTACTTCTGCTGTACCATGACCAGTTAGAAACTAATCACCAGGTCTAGCCCACACTTAAGGTGAGGGGATTGTATAAGGATATGAATACCAAGAGGCAAGGATCATTAGGGGCCAACTTAGAAGCAGTCTACTATAGATGGCAAAGTTCCCAGTTTTATACAGAGTGGGGCAAAAGTAGGTTTAAAGTTCATATGGGAAATACAATAATTAATAAGAATAAACTGTTTTGTGTACTCACAACTATAAACCTCCTTTTGTCCCACCCTGCATATACCATACTCACTGTCCAAGTGAGAGTCTTGAACTTCACACTAAATTCAGGGCACCCCTGAACCAATCCATGTGGCCACAGGTATATCTATAAGCTAACCCATTCATTCTGTGAAGGGATGGGGCAGAGGAGGATTTTCTTATTGACCTAGACCAGTGGTTGGCAAACTCGTTAGTCAACAGCGCCAAATATCAACAGTACAACGATTGAAATTTCTTTTGAGAGCCAAATTTTTTAAACTTAAACTATATAGGTAGGTACATTGTTATTAACTTAATTAGGGTCCTCCTAAGGCTTAGGAAGAGCCACACTCAAGGGGCCAAAGAGCCGCATGTGGCTCGCGAGCCGCAGTTTGCCGGCCACGGACCTGGACCCATGAAAGCCTACCCCTCAAGCTGTATTATGAACTTGGGTCTATTTCACTCAAACCATTATTGCTACATAATGAAAAATGGAGTGTGTACTGGGAAAACAACAGAGTTTTTTCAAAAGCTGGTAAAATATTTTAGGTGTTTTATTCAGACTCTTTTTTTGCTTCACAGATGTACTTCATGAAGAATGAATAGAAAATGAACTGTACACCATTTCTAGAATTCTGGCCACAATAATGGTCTGGTGATGACTGACAGCTAGCTTTGTTCCAAGAAAAACCTTTACCTTCTCAGATTTCAACCCCTTCCCTCCCAGCCCCTAACTATACAGAGTGACTTCCCAGGTATAGAGGAACCATTATTCCAACAAGGATATAAAAGTCCTTGCATCCTTGGCTATAAGACATAGGATTTTTATCTGAAAATAAATATTTAAGAAAATATGATGTCCATTTGTTTATTTATTTATTTGGATGATTCCATCACAACACTTGACAAAAAAAAAAAAAAAATTGAGAAAAGTTCTATTTTGGCCTCATAGTCTAAACCAGGGGTGGGCAAACTTTTTGACTTGAGGGCCACAATGGGTTCTTAAACTGGACCGGAGGGCCGGAACAAAAGCATGGATGGAGTGTTTGTGTGAACTAATATAAATTCAAAGTAAACATCTACACTAATAAAAGAGAAAAATGGTAATTGGCGTACGGCGCTACCCTTTTCATTGGCTAATCAGGGCTATATGCAAATTAACTGCCAACTAAGATGGCAGTTAACTGCCAACAAAGATGGCGGTTAATTTGCATATGTAGGCACAATGCAGGGAGGCAAAAGGGAAAGCAGGAAGAAGCCCCCTGCCACTGACAGTGATCGGAAACCCAGGGGGGGGCTAAGAGGTGGGGGGCCGCCTTTGCCCTGCCCCCCAGCCATAATCGGAGAATCAGGCGCCTTTGCCGCCCTGGCCAGTGATAGCAGGAAGTAGGGGTGGAGCCAGCAATGGGAGCTGGGCACGGTCGAAGCTGGCAGTCCCGGGAGCTAGAGGTCCCTTGCCTGGGCCTAAAGCGGAGCCCACGATCGCGGGGCCGCTGCAGCTGCGGGTCCCCGCTGCCCGGGCCGGACGCCTAGGCCAGAGGCGTTAGGCCTGGGCAGGGGCAGAGCGGGAGATCGCGGGGAGCTGGGAGGCCTCTGCCCAGGCCTAATGCCTTGGCCAGAGGCATTAGGCCTGGGCAGGGGCGGAGCCTGCTGCCGGGAGCCGGTCCATCCTTGCTGTTTCAAGGGACCTGGCATATATGGCATGCTGTTCTTAATATGTTTGCTCACCTTCTTGGCACTATGTGTTTTAACCAAGGTCTCTGAGAAAGGTTGTTTCCCCAGGTAGGGATTTTCCCCTGAAGTTAGGGAGGGAATAAAACCTCTTAACTAAGTGCCAGGCGGGTAATTAATCACTTTAACTACGAACAATCATGCTTAAGCTACATAATCTTTACTCCCTGGAATGGAGATAAGAAATGCCCTAACCTTTGTAATAGAGATTGATAGGATTGAATCAACTGGTATAAATACAGATGTAACAAGACAGCAAGAGACAGAACTTAGAACACAGAACTTAGAACACAGAACCTACACAGAACTAGAGACAGAAGAACTTCGCTGGAGAGAACATGGCAAAAGATCCTGGACTGAACCTGACTACAGAAATTGGCAAGAGAACCTGACTAGAACCTGGTGACAGAACCTGGCTGGAGAACCTAGTGGGGGAACATGGCTACAGAACCTGGCTGGAGAACCTGGAGAACTTGGCTGGAGAACCTAGCAAGAGAACATGGACACAGAACCTGGCTGGAGATCCAAACCAGAACTTCGCTGGAGATCCTGACCAGAACTTGGCTAGAGATCCTGGCTAGGCTGCTGATCAACTGAACGCTGTATCCATGTCATTCCTTCTTCGCCGACTACGGCCACACCTTTGGGGACCCCTGGACCTGCTGGGGTTGGACCCCGGCAGCCTGCAACCGCGGGGAGCTGGGGGTCCCCTGCCCAGGCCTGACACCTCTGCCGGAGGCCTCAGGCCTGGTCAAGGGGCCGATCCGGTGATTGGTGATCAGAGGGTGATGAGGGTCAACTCCTCTGGCCAAGGAATCAGGCCTGGGCGGGGGGCGGAGCCGGGGATTGGAGGGATATGATGGTCCCCTTGCCCAGGCCTGACGCCTGGGTCAGAGGCGTCAGGCTTGGGCGGGGGGTGGAGCAAGCGATCAGAGGGAGATGGGGGTCCCTGCCCAGGCATGATTCCTGGGCCAGAGGCCTCAGGCCTGGGCGGGGGTCAGAGCCAGTGATCGGGGGGAGATGGGGGTCCCCTGTCCAAGCCTGACACCTCTGGCGGAGGCGTCAGGCCTGGGCAAGGGGCAGAGCCAGCAGTCAGAGGGGGCTGGGGGCAGAACCAGTGATGGGGGGAAATGAGGGTCCCCTGCCCAGGCCTGACACCTCTGTCAGAGGCGTCAGGCCTGGGCAAGGGGCCGATCCTGCGATTGGAGGGTGATGGGGGTCAACGCCTGAGGGCTCCCAGTATGTGAGAGGGGGCAGGCTGGGCTGAGGGACACTCCCCCCCCCCCCGCCCCACACACACCCAGTGCACAAATTTCGTGCACCGGGCCCCTAGTCATTACATAAAAGGGTACAGCCCGAGGGCCCAAGTTTGCCCACGCTGGTCTAAACTCTAGATTCTAAAGAACAATAAAGAAGTCAATAAATGCAATTGGAGAAAAAGCCCTTTGGAAGCCTATTCATTAGTCTTTTAAAGAAGCTGACTGTGGTGTAATGTGGTTAACCTCACCCGTCCAAAACAGAAGTATCCCAGAACTTTCTGGACTCGATTTTTTTTAAAAAAGCAAGGGGATGGGGAGGGGCAGAGTGTGGAATCTAGAGTTTGTTTTCAAGAGAGACCATCTCTAGAATTTACACTGCTTTTTCAAAATGTGTATTGAAGCATGCAAGGGTATGCTTGCCTTCAGGGTAGTTAAAGGGGCCCCAGACAATTTGAGCAGCTTTACTGGAGGGAAAAGAAACAAAAACAAAATCAGATCTGTACTCTGGGACACTGGAAGAAATGCCCAGCCACAGAAAGGACCAGAAAGCAGCCTGGTACACAACAAACCGGAATCTACAAGCTCTGCAAGGTCACAGGCTACAATATTAATATACAAATATCAATTGTTTTTGTATACTAGCAATGAAAATTCCAAAAATGAAATTAAGAAAATAATTCTAGGCATGCTCTTCCTTCCGGGAGCATGCCCACACTCCTCCTGCTGTTCTTCCCCCACAGGTGCGCATTTCCTAAACTCAAAGGGACTCCACGAGATTTGCAACCAGGGAGCAATGGGCAGCAGCTCATCTTGGTTTAATACCCTGAACCTGTCCCCCAAACCCCCTTTTTTCTGACTCCAGTGAGCCAACAGCAGCCCTGCCTAACCTCAGTTCTTTCCTATAACGTTTCTAGAGACCAAAGTAGCCCTGCCTAGGCTCTCGCCTGTTGACCCTTCTATCCTAGGCCCTTCCTTTTTTCACTGTCCCCAATTTTAATAAACCTAACTCCCCAAAAAGAAAGCAAATCATTCCATCCAAAATACTAACAAAAATATTTAAGAATAAATTTAACAGAAGTACAAGACTTGTACAATGAAAACTATAAACAGAGAAATTAAGGGAGGTAAATAGAGGTATTCCATGTTCATGAATTAAAAGATTTAATATTGTTAAGATGGCAATTGTCTTTTAAAAGTTTATTTAAAAATCAATACAAACCCTATCAAAACTCCAGCAGGCTTTTTTGAAAAATTGGCAAGCTGATCCTAAAATTTCTAGGGAAATTCAAAGGATCCATAATAGCCCAAACAGTTCTGAAAACGAGGAACACTTCCTGATTTCAAAACTTATTACAAAGCTACAATAATCAAGACAGTGTGATATTGATATAAAGATAGACAGAAAGATAAGTGGAACAGAACTTGTGTGTCTAGGAGTAAGCCCTCATATTTATGGTCAATTGATCTTCAACTAAGGTGCCAAGCCATTTCCATGAAGAAAGGATAGTCTTTTCAACAAATGGTGCTGGAACATTTGGATATCAGATGCAAAAAAGATTAATTTAGACCCTTACCTCCTACCATATACAAAAGTAAATTCAAAATGAGTCGGAGACCTAAATATAAGAGCTAAAACTGTAAAACTTTTAGGAGAAAACCTACATGGCATTGGTTTAGGAAAAGAGTTCTTAGATAAGATCCCCAAAACAAATCAGGACACATGCCTTGGTTGTGTGCTCAATCCCCAGAAGCGGGCGTGCAGGAGGCAGCCAGTTGATGATGTTTCTCTCTGATGGCTGTTTCCATCTAGCCTTCTCTCTCCCTCTCTTCCTAAAAAAAGAAAAAAAGGCAGTGTTGGTGAGCTGTGAAGAAACAAGCCCTAATACATGGCTGGTGGGAATGTAAAATGGTGCAGCCAGGTTCAAAAAACAATCTGGAGGTTTCCTAAGTTAATTATAAGTTCACCACTACACTTGGTGTCTCACCCCCCCAAAAAAGGAAAACATGTTTATAAGACTTACAGGCAAATATTCATAGCATCATTGTTCATATTAGGTAAGCAACCCAAATGACCATCAACTGGTACATGGATAAACAAAAAATCCATACAGTGGAGTACTGATACATGCTATAACACAGCTAAACCCCAGAAACATTATGCTAAGTGAAATAAGTCTGACACAATAAACCATACAAGGTATGATTCCATTTTATAAAATATAAAAAAAGAAAAACCTCAGCTAGATACTATATTGGTGGTTGCATGGGCAGGGATGGGAACAGGGATCATCTGCAAATGGGGGTGATGAAATGTTCTAAAATTAAATTATGATTTTTGTACAACTTTGTAAACTTTAAAAATAATTGCTTTGTGTACTTAAGACAGGTGAATGTTATGTATATACATTATCTCAATAAAGGTGTTAAAGGTGATGTCCATAGTATCTGAAATAATCTACAGGTTCAATGGCATTTTCACAGAAATAGAATAAATAATCCTAAAATTTGTATGGCACCACAAAAGACCTCGAATAAACAAAGCAATCTTGAGAAAGAAGAACATACCTGGAAGCATCATGCTCCCTGATTTAAAACTATATTAAAGCTATAGTAATCAAAACAATATGGTATAGGCATAAAAACAGGCTCATAGATCAGTGGAACAAAATACAGAGCCCAGAAGTAAACCCACACATATATGGGTCCATTTATAACAAAGGGGCCAAAATATACAATGGGGAAAGGATAGTCTCTTCAATAAGTACCCTTGGGAAAACTGGTCAACCACATGCATCTATCATACACAAAATGTATTAAAGTATTGAATGTAAGACATGAAACCATTAAACTCCAAACTAAAAAGC